ACATTATTATTTCCATTGTTGTTTCCGTTGTTGGAACCATGGTTATTGTTTCCGTTATTGTTTCCGTTGTTAGAACCTGCGTTATTGTTTCCATTATTATTACCGTTATTAGAACCATTATTATTATTACCATTGTTGTTTCCGTTATTAGAACCACGTTTTAAATTATTGTTTCCATTATTATTTCCGTTGTTAGAACCAACATTATTATTTCCATTGTTATTTCCGTTGTTGGAACCATGGTTATTGTTACCGTTATTGTTTCCGTTGTTAGAACCAGCGTTATTGTTTCCATTATTATTACCGTTATTAGAACCATTATTATTGTTGCCGTTATTGTTTCCATTGTTAGAACCACGTTTGAAATTATTGGCTCCATTTTCATTTCCGTCGATAAAACCAATGTTATTGTAGTCATCTTCACGTTTTAAATTATTGTTTCCATTATTATTTCCGTTGTTAGAACCAACGTTATTGTTGCCATTGTTGTTTCCGTTGTTAGAACCATGGTTATTGTTACCGTTATTATTTCCGTTGTTAGAACCAACGTTATTGTTGCCATTGTTGTTTCCGTTGTTGGAACCATGGTTATTGTTACCGTTATTATTTCCGTTGTTAGAACCACGTTTTACATTATTGTTTCCATTATTATTTCCGTTATTAGAACCAACGTTATTGTTTCCATTGTTGTTCCCGTTGTTAGAACCTATATTATTGTTTCCATTGTTGTTCCCGTTGTTAGAGCCTATATTATTGTTACCATTGTTGTTTCCGTTGCCGCGGCTACGTTTTTTGTATCCATAATAGAAACGTTTTTTGTAATTATTGTCTCCATTGTCGTTACCATTGAACAAACCAACATTATTGTTTCCGTTATCATCTCCGTTGAAACTGCCGATATTGTCATTACCATTGTTGTTACCATTGAAGTAACCAACATTATTGTTTCCGTTATTATCTCCGTTGAAATTGCCAATATTGTCATTACCATTGTTGTTACCATTGAACGAACCAACATTATTGTTACCATTGTTGTTCCCGTTACCATTGCCTGTATTTCCGTTACCGTTATTATTGCCGTTAAAAGAACCTCCTCGGACAGAAGATAACAAGAGGGCAGTATAAACAATGGCTGCGCTGTATGCAAATTTTGGTACCATTTTTGTGAAAAAATTTGATAGGATGAATTTTATGTTTTGAATGTACTTTTCGAAATGAGATTTTTATTATTCTCTTGTAGGGATTGTTTTTTTATTATTATCAAGAGCTGATGAAGTTTTTTTTCGAGTTGAGCTGGTTCTTTTTATATTGTAAAAATCCCGCTGGTATCTCATTTCTAAGAAATTAGTTCGCGATGCGGCTTAGCATAAAAATCGATAAATTTAACGTTAACTCAATTTTAACAATTATTTAATATTAAGGTTTGCTAAATTTATTCATCTTTTTCAAACTCGATCTATATTTGGTATATTTTGATGCTAGCATTAATCTGTGTAAAGCAATGACGCAACAATCGGATTTGTTCATTTTTACGTTAATAATAGAAATCGCGGGGTTTGATCTTATTGATCACTCCTCCCGTTATTCATTATTTCGTTTGCACAGCCATTGGAATAAAATCCAATAATAACATTTTATTATCAACATTAACTGGTTTAGAATAATAATATCGCTTGACATGTATTATACTTATGATTGGTATACGCGTCTTTTTACAAACTCCCCTTTACATCTAACTGTAAAAGGCTCGTTCTTTACTGCACCACTTTAACAGTAATATCGATAGACTCTAGAAAAACAATCACTTACTCTTTTGATAAGTCACTTATCCATATACTTATTGTTGAATAACAGATTTCGTATTCGCAATGTTAGAGCACGTTTAAAATCTTGTATATTTGGTAATCACAAGTGCTATTTTTAATAAAGTCCCCGCGAAAATAATGACGGTGTGAGGGTACTTCTTTTTTTATTGTAGCATTGGTATTTTTCTGATTTGAACGATTGTTCATAGTCTATACGATGCTATTTTAAAAAACAAATAAAGAAAATACCTTGAATATTGTTTTCATCAGTATTTCCCTCCTGAAATCTAGAATGAATTGATGAAGATGGAAATGTATGAGTCTCTGTTATGGATTTTCTAAAATTACTCAAAATTCTATTTAACAAATTTGTCCCATGGTTTTGTTTTGTTATGACCATATTGCAATTATAAATATTATGTAAATAGAATTTTATGAGAAAAAAAAAATACTCAATCACCATTTTCTCATTGTTCAGGTACCAGAATGAGATGAAAATACCATCATTGAATTCCTTTTGATGTGGTTCTAATGGTATAATATGTTTCAATTTTTTATGATCTCTTGTTCATAAGATCACTTGGAAACTACAAATCTTTAAAAAATTTTTGCTTCGAATTTTATTATAATAAATAATATTAAAAACCCCGCCATTATTTCGTCGGGGATGTTAAATTTTTTTATTTGTCTTTAATACATATGCTGTCAAATGATATAAATCTTATCATCTTTATGATAAAAATTTTCTTTTAAACATTAGGACGCGGAATTTTGAGGTCGTTTACTGTGGTGATATACGAAAAGTCAAAAGCTGATTAGCAATTATTTCAATTGAATTTACAAATACGTTTTTCTTATGACATGTGCTCACGAAGCAACAAATCTTACGAAAAGACTATAGGCGTTAAAAATGAATCACGATTTGATTCAAAGCAAATAGATGTCATAAGAGGAGATTAGGAAATGACGAATTTGACTTTCTAATTAATGTTTTAATGCTTTTTATTGTAGCAAGGTAAGAATACAAGTTACGCATAGTTTTAAAAACAAAAAAATGAAAGTGTTACAATCAAAATGTGTTTGGAAGAAGCAAATTGACTAATGGGTGCATATAAAAACTCTATTATTATAAGATTATTTTATTTCATCATTATTACGAAAAGTCTTTAATCATATTGACGTAATAAATTTTGAATTTATTCCTAGATAAAGTTTATCGTTATCGTTATACATATATAGTCGGAATAGGATTAATAATGATGATGTTTTATTCCATTGTTCTATTGTGGATTAATTCCCGAATATGGACATGTACATACATGTATGTAGTAGAAATCCCGTGAGTTTACAATATGCGCACTTTTAAAAAATAAACCGGCGCAAATTTTATAAGAAATATCTATGCACACATTAAAAGCTTTATTATGGTATAAATCTTGAATACGTACAATTTATTTGGAAATAATAGAAATAGCTGAAAACTTGGCTTGGCTTTCATTATTGGATTATCAATAATCTAACAGAAGTTTAGAAATTTGTAGAGTACTTCCTTTTATGAGTCCAGAAAAAAAACCAGCTGATGAGGTATTTTATCAGATCCATCGTCGTATGGTTAGAACTTGAATACATGTATTTTGCATTTTCAGTATTAAACTACTGAATCGGAGATACAAAACAGATTTTGATATTAATATACCACACGAAGTCGAGTATGACTTGCAAGAAACTATTGATTTAGAATTTAACGTTTGCTGATTTTACAAGAATCCAAAAGTGGTTTCAATTTCTTCATGTTTACGCCTATATTTATTATTTTGACCTTTATCGTTATCAAAATTTATTTATTTTATTCATGTGTAAGAGACACGAGGCTTCGTCTCTTATTCCGTAATAGCAATTTCGCAATTATGAAAATGGCAGGAAGTTCGTACAACATGCGAAGAATCAGAGATTCTTTTCTTCGAGAGATCATACGTGTGTGCAATTGTTACATTGGGCCAAAAATCGAGAACAATAATTCTAATAAGTTAAAAATAAAACAATCTATCCAAACCCGTGTTTACCCGTGAATTTGATTAATGGTTAGGTTCTTTGCACCAGAAAAAAAGACATATGCTATTGTGATTGATTTGATTAAAGGAATGTTAAGCGTTTAAGGCTTTTTTCTATAAAAAGCAATGTTAGAACTTGTTAATTGTAAAGAAACCCTTTAGAATAAAGACTATCTAAATTATAAATACTTTTATCTCGTAAATTCTCCACATATAATCCTTTAACTGACACCATAACGATATCCGCAGATATCGGCACAGGTTTAAGTCCCTTAACCTCTAATAACTCGACTGTTGCAATACTTAATCTGACTGAACAAGTCACATGAGATCATCGGCACGTGACTGATAACCAATTTTTAGTGGTACAATTGCGCGTGTCTAGATTTGGTGTATTGTTTTTGTTTTTGTTTTTGTTATTTATCATATTTGCTTTATATTTTTTATTTATTATTCTCTTTTTTTTCTTTTGATAGTACTAGGAAATGGTAAACCATTATTTAATTGGTTTATTTGTGACAATCAATTTTTCACATATCGCAGAATAATATAGTCCTTCGCTTACGCTCCGGACAGTAAGTATAATAACTTAAATTTCACTATAAACTTTAATATAAACTTTTTGGTTATTCTTTATTTATCTACTAAAACTTTTATATTATGAGTAGAAAGAAAAACTCCACTTTAGGATTTCCGCCGAAGTACTCGAATAACTGCTGTGGGAAAGCTGAAAGATCTGTCATGTTTGCGAGCTGTTTAGTATTTTCTTTTATATATTATCTTTATCATTTATTTACTATATTACAGTTTCTTCTCTATATTCTAATAAAAATTATTTATTCTTAAGTTTTTTATTATAAAATTTTGTATTATTTTCGATATTGATGATCCTTTTCTCAATATCTTTAAAAATGATTCCTTCGAAATAAACGGGAGATATTACAATGATCCTCGTCTTCGCAAACCCGGTCTCCGAAGAATCGATTGATGCAACCACATGCGGAGGGATGAAATATTTGGAGTATACTAATTGATAAAGTATTCCTAAATGTTCCATCCTCGATTTTTCCAATTTCTTTAAGGTGAGCGTTCTCACTTAACATGTTGTCATTTTAAACCCAATTGATGCTCAAAGAATATCATGATGATAGATTTCACATCTAATTAAAAGATCTAGAAGTGTTATCAAAGAATGGAAGAATCGGAGAAATAGTTTTCAGCAATCTTATCAGAGAGCCATATACAGTAAAGTTACAGACCAAAGATGATAAACTGCTTGGAATGGAAGTCAACGGTTCATTCCATATCCCTGGAGAAAATGGACGTGAAATTAGGATGGTGGAATTATCCGGGGATTTAACTTCGGATCTTCTACGTTATCTTAAAGATCACGTTAAAGGGTGTTGGGGATGTAATGAAGTTACGCTGGCTAAAGATCTGGTAATATTTCCAGGATACTGCACCAGTTGAATACACGTCAAAGTCGATATAACGGACTCTTGATATAACGGACACTAAGTAAAATCTCAATATACCGGATTGAGGGTTATAATATTTTATCCGCTATACCGAATTTCTTCGTTATAACGGATTTTTGAAAATTTTTACTAATGGAACCGACTGGTCCGTTATATCGACTTTCACTGTGTAGTTAATATCATAATTCCAGTTTCATGAGTGGTATCGGTTAAACACTGTGAGCTAACATATTTTTATTATCCTATAGTTGACAGTTCTTCAAGAATTGAAATACTGGTATATGCTTCACAACAATATTGAAAAGCACAATATCTTGAATTATTCTAAGGGGAGGGCCAGAAATCATGCGATTAAGATAGGGAAAATATCTCAAATTACGTCTATGTGACTCAATTTTACGTTGGATTAATATAAGTGACGGGAATATGAATTTTCACGGTATAACTTTGAAATTTATAATGAAATTGAGGTAGGCCTGTAGATATTGAAAGATTTATCGGTTCTGTTACCATTGTTACGTTGAAATCCATAAATCCACAATTTTCGCAAAATTTATAATAGGTTGCATAAGTAACTGACCCCGCTAACTTGCCAGGAATCATGTGTAACGCCTTGAAATTTCCGGGAGCAATTACTTTATATTTTTTATAGATTTGTTAGATAATCGACGCCATTATCGGATGATCATCAAACTTCTATGACACAAAATGTCTCTTCCCTTACACAAGCAATACGAAATCGTTTTTCCGCATACAAAGTTTGGACTTGAAACGACTGCCAAGTACAGTATATTGGTTGTAGTAAAGGTACAGTGATTAATGTGCT